CTTTTGTAGTAGTATTGAAGTGCCTGCCATTGAAAGGGGTGACAATTGGAAAAATCCGACACTTTTCAAATATCAAGACCCTTGTTTAAGAATCAGAGACTGAGATTTAAACGACTTTAAGTTAGACACAAAAAGGAATGAAACTCAGAAAAAATAATGAGACCTTGTGATTCATTGTGAAGGCCTTTCGAGATTTCAAGACTGGGCAATAAACTGTAGGTAGCATTCATCACCCCTTTTGAATGTGTTCTTGTATATTTCAATAAATGATACCTATAAGGACTGTCATATAAGCACCCCTATTCCAAAAATTAGCACCCCTGTTCTGTTCCAATAACAGAACCATCAACATACACTCCAAAACTATCCATGATTTAGCTGCCTTGTAAACTTCTCCCATCATCGTTGCATTACAAAGAACTACTCCCCATTCCCCAAAGTTCCATATTTTTTTTAGTCCACTGTTTTCCTGATGTAAGGTAGCCTGTGTCACATTCCAGGGAGAGGCGGCTGTGACACAGGCTAGATGTAAGGGCAAGTATAATTCTTTCAAACAAAAGATCCCTCCTCCATTTTTTGCTTTCCAATATTCACATATGCATACTGTACAAATAAGAACCCTGCTATTTACAAGTTCCCCTTGAAGTGCTGCGCATGCACAGGCAGTAAATATTTTAGGTGCTAAATTAATTTAAAATGAAATTTTCCACAACCATAAGATATTAATAATTAAAAGCTTGGAGCACTAACATTAATTTTAGAAACATTTCTATCCAAATTCATTTTTCAGAGGTTTAATGTTGCTATCACAAGAGCCCAAGCTCTGCTGATCGTAGTGGGAAATCCTCATGTTCTTTGTAAGGACAGACACTGGAATAGGTAACTGGTCTCTTATTAAAGTAATAATAGGATTTTCATTAGCCTGTCTGAGTAAATAAACATTTATTTACCACTTTTCACTTACTTTAATGGGCAACAAATGGTGAATTTGATTCTTTGCAAGACATCTACAGAACAGATGACATATTTCACAAGCCTGAGACTATCTACGCCTCGCTAAAGAAATCAAGACTTTTATTTGTGATGATATTGATCACAAAAAAATAAATAAATAAGTAAATAAATAAAGGACCACCCCTCCTGTACATAAGTGCATAAATTATTTAACTTTTAAGCTCAATTCATTTTTTTTTTCTTTTTTTTCACAGATTCATTCAGTTCTGCATCGATTCAAAAGGCTACCGTGGGTGTGATTTCAAACCTACATCAGAAGATGACCAGGACCTCATAGCTCGCCTGAAACGTGTTCATCTGGATTCTAAAGAAGCATTAGATGCTGTGGAGTCTGTTGCAGATGATACTGTAACACAAGCAGAACAGCCAGCATGGCACAGACATGAAGAGTTTTAGATGGAAAATTTTAATGTGCTGTTACAGCTAAGCTATGAAATACCATTATGTATACTTATTAGATTGTTTTAGGACCTTTGCTTAGCACTAGAGAAAAAGAATGTTAACACCTCTTCTCTTAAAGTCAAATTTTGAAGTTATTGGTGGTTCTCTTTGTTAGGCCAGCCATACAAGGTGGTTCTAACTTTTCAGGTCCGTGGATGAAACCCTAGTGTGTGACCATTCAAATGAAAGCTATTGAGCAGTTCTTCCATGTGGTACTGTTTATTATGCTGCACAAGGTGGTTCTAACTTTTAGGTCTGTGGATGAAACCCTAATATGTGACCATTCAAATGAAAGTTATTGTTTTCATGTGGTACTGGTTATTACGCCCTTAGTGTGTGACCATTTTAAATGGAAGTTATTTAGCAGTACCTTCAAGCTAAGGACTCTTGTCACTAGTTTTAAATACAATGTTTTATGAAGAGTGCATTAGTCTTCTAGTACCAGATCCACAGTCAATTCTTTGTAAACACATCTTGTTCACTTTCAGTAGTATCTCTCAGAGCATGACCTAAGGGCTTGCAAATGCTTACTGTTGTAAAGTTGTCATGTCTCTCAATTGAACATTCCTGAGTGGCTAAGTCAAAGAGTCAACTGCATATATTTGGCCATTGCTGTATTTAAATAGACTGTTTTAATTACTGTAACAATTATTTTATGAAAATTATAATATCATAAATTATTTATTATAGATGTATAGTAGTTAGCTGGGATCAATTTTATTATAAACTTGTTGATCCCAGAATTAATTGTCCTGGCTGTCAAAGACATGTTCCAGAATACAATTTTTTGCATATATATTATAATGTATAGAGGATTTTTTGGTGGAAAAAAAGCACACTTTTATATTCTACTGTTAATTAGTTTTACCTTAGTTTTTAATTGTAAAGTGTACACTTGGGAACACAAATATGGGATATTATATTATTTGGCAAAAGGAACAATATCGTTGTGCAGGCTTGGAGATAATTTGGTGAACTTAACTTTTACATCACTTGCATATTGTAGAAAAGAGCTGTTTGTAGTATCAAGAATTTAACTCTTCTTTCTGGTCTCTATTTCTTTTATTAATGTTTTTGTTGTAGCCCAAAATGTCAGTCATCTCACCGTCATGAAAATGCAAGCCATCTCTCGCCTGAGAGTAATAAGTGCAGGAGACGACTGACACTTCATGTAATTTTTGTTGTAGCCTTGCTGATATGAACATATCAAATTGGCTTCCCCATAGGGAAATTCCCAGCTGGGTTGATCAGAGGGACTAGAAAGATTCTCTAAGGCAAAGTCCTCTTGTTAACATTTCCTGCACAGACTACCCCCCCCC